ATATATATATATATATATATATATCCACTTAAATCTGCATGCTGCAAATGTATTTTTCACAATCATTAATTTTTATTTTAATTTATAAAACTAAACACAACCCAAATGAGGAAAGTAAAATCTTATCTTTAACATCAATCATTTCACCTGAAGACCACCCAAACCTTACAAAGATAAGGGCACAGTAAGTAAAAGAAAGAAGTCTAAAATATTCATAGCCAAAATCGATCAGACCTCAGCCTGAACTAATTTTAGACACACTGTTTCTAGCTGCTAAACTGAGTGTAATGACCATGCTAACTTTGCTCCTCAAGTTCCTCCAAATCTGAGTCAAACAAAAAAATAAGTAGCTAGAGATACTTATTTTCATATGTATACCTGAATTTTAAAGTTAAACTGGACAATAAATTCTTCTATTTTCACATTTGCGGTTAATTTTTTAAAATTAAATACTAACACACCCACTCAATAGGAAAAGAGATTATTGCTTTCACATGTAGATTAAAAACCAAGGCAAGTAAACTCGTAAGGAGAGCTTGGACCAATTCCTATTGATAAAGCAAAAACTATATCACATATAATCTTCACCTCAGAGGGTAGGAAGAAGATCAATGTAAAACCAAGCAGTGCACTTGAGGGCCACAGGCATACTTCATTCAGAAGCTTACGAAAATGCACCAGAACTATTTGAAAAGATACCTGAATAAATGAAGCGTAGAATGTCCGATAAACAAGAACAGAAGAGGGCGTCTTTAACAATGACTGGTAAGGGTGGGTTGCCTGGAGATTCCTGGCTAGCACCTGGAAACGCAGCATCTCTGTTGATAGCAAAGAGATCCTGGGTAGTTCGGATGATACTGGAGTCCTGAATGTCAGCAGGACTCTTCACATTGAAAAGCAGCATGAATACATGGCTGACTGCACAGAGAACGATCTTGTGGGCCTCGACCACTTCCTTCAAATCTGGGTTGTAGAATATCACATCCACACACTGGCAGCAGAACAGCAAGTTATTTAAATCAGAGTTATAATGCGATGCTTCAGCCTTTAAGACAGGCATTTTTTCTGTTTCAAAAAAGAAAATAAAAATAATACACTATTCTTTAGATTTACAGATCCCATCATTTCAGGTTCATTTTAAGCAAAACAAAACACTATTTTAAAATATTATTAGGTTGACCCACATGAAGTTGCCAAAACCTGGCCAGTTTTGACCTATAATACAGCAATTTTGTATAGCTTAATCTAATAATAAACACATATACACTAATTAACCAGGGATAACACAGACACAAGAAATACTGTGTCTACTTTTCATAGTGCAAATGAAAAATGTATTACTGCCATAAAGAGTAATAAAATAGCATTTTTCATTAATAGATAGCATTTATTTCTCCCAAAATATTTCTCTAAGTGTAGAATTTCAGTATGTTGGTAATCATCATTCTTCACTTTCAACTGATATCAAATCAAAGAAATTACTAAATAAGTTCTGAAGAACTTAACCTCACATCTGAAGCTGTTTTCCCCCTGTGACTAGAACTAGAGGTAGAGGGATAAACTGTTAAAACAGCAACCTTTCAAGTCAGGGCTCAGAGTTATGACAGCGTGGACCCTGGGTTATGTTCAGCGTGGACCCTGGGTTACGTTCAGTGTGGACCCTGGGTTATGCTTAGTGTGGACCCTGGGTTATGCCCAGTGTGGACCCTGGGTTATGTTCGGTGTGGACCCTGAGTTATGCCCGGTGTGGATCCAGACTGGGTTATGTTCAGTGTGACCCCGCAGGTTCTCCCAGCAGGAGGGTACGAGAGACAGCCTAGTGAACTCCAAGACTGCACGGCTAACAAGGTGCTCCTGAGGGCCCTGCCCACTATCTCACCTAGTGCCCCCGGTGAAGACCCACAGGAGAAATTCATTTTAGTGCTAAGTAACATCAGATGCTTTGCTTTCTCTGAGGAACTGGTACTTTCTCTTCTTGATTAATAAGAACTAAGAAGTGATCTGTCTACATTACTTATTTAGCTCTTCCCCACTCATCTTCTCATCCAGAAAGTACTTCAGACCCCAGTGTTTGCTACATAACCGACCACGTCTCCCTTTTCACTCTGCACACCACAAAGTTCAAAGCCAATTTTATGGTCTATCTATCTGCATTTTTTTTAAAACCTGGAATTGACTTCCCATACTAATTTATATTTTCCTGGTTGTTTATGTACATTCATTCATTCAACAAATATTTATCAAGTACCTTTTTAAAACAATATCCATAGTTAATTGATCTAGACAGAGTACTATTCTATTATTGCTATCATAAAATTATGCAATAAATTCTGATAATGAGTGATGTAATTTTATTTACTTTTAACTTTATTTTCTTCTACCCTTGTATTATAAACATTTTCAAACACTCAAAAAAGTTGACTGATAAATTGAGCACACATATCCTGCCCTTAAATTCTACAATTATTATCATTTTGTTACTTTTTCGCTTTAGATAGATTTTCTCACTCTCTCCGTGTGTCTCTGTGTCTGTCACTCGCTGCTGTACCATTTAAAAGTAATTTGTAATCATCAAGATACTTCAGTTCTAAATACTTTCACATTTACTTCCTGAGGATAAGGACATTCTTCTATTACCCACAATACCATTATACATAAGAAAATCAACAGAAATTCCAAGACATCATCTAATTTCCAGTCCATATTGAAATTTTACCCAACTGTCCCAAGAACATCTTTTAGATTTTTTTTTTAATTTTTTTTTTTTTTGGTTGGTGGGAAGGTAACTAGGTTCATATATTTATTCTTAGAGGAGGTACTGGGAATTGAGGTCAGGACCTCATGCGTGCTAAGCATGCGCTTCACCTCCTCCCCAAATTTTAGATGTTTTCATTGAACCAGTATCCAATCAAGGCTCATGCATTACATTTGGTTACTTCTCACTGGACTATAATCTAGAACAGCTCTCTACCACACACACTATTTTTAACAATCTATAGGCTCAAGCTGTTAGGACAATACTCCTCAAAGTGTGATCCAAGTACCACCACTGCAGAATCATATGGGAAGCTTATTTAAAAATCAGATTCAGGCTCCATCCCATATTAACTGAATCAGAAGGCCACGTGAGTCCTGAACACACTCAAATTCGAGAACAATTGCTCTAAGACTTGTGAAATAATCTACAATAAATACCAACTAAATGTCTAGACATAGGCTAATAAATGCACCTGGTTGTTCAAGCTGAGGTGGTCTAATTCCATGAAACGAGTTGCTCATTTTCCTTTTCTTCATTTTTTCACTTGTCTTCTGATTTAAGGCTTGAATCATAAAATACTCCAACTAAAACATGAATCAAATTTTAATTAAAGCTTCAACAAAATTATGTTTCTGACATGATTACTTGCACCCCCAACCACACTAGCCAAGTGTTTTTAATGTCAGTACCATCTACATGTATGCTTTAGCAAATGCTTTATCTAAAAAAAAAAAATCTATTAAGTAGAACAGATTGTGCCTTGTCTAAACATAGACTGTCATTCAAGAAGAAACTGCATTTTCTCTTGAATAATCAAGAAAGCCAAGCAGTACAACCATGTGACTGTCAATAACCATCTCATGGGCAACCACACCAGTAAATACTAGAAAAATTCAGGGCAAAAACAGATCTGGTTCTGTCACAAATATTCATATCAGCTAGGGAAGTTCACATGTGCTCTACTTTTTTTCCTGAATAAATTACTTTGAAATACATCCTTCATTTTATAAATTACAAATCTTGACCACCTGCACTTACACAGCTCTAGGCGTGTGCTTTCTATCATAAGGCCTGGGGCAAAAGTACAAATGGAGATCCACGTACCATACTCCTAAATATTTAAATGTTGTAAATCAATCAACTTATATAAAAGGTGCTCTATCCTCCTGCTTTGATAAGTATGTCATCATTAAAGCCTGGAAGGCCAGGTTCAGATTTAAATTCTCAGACTCCAGAGTTCTGTGCAGCACAGGGAGAGCTGGCCCCTAACTCCAGGGACCCATTACCACCCCTCCTCTCCTCACCCCTGCTCCACCCCTCACCTCCTCACCTGAGGTCTGTGCTTACAGGTGGAGATCCACACCTATACAACCAAGCGCCATCCACTCCCACCTCCCCCAATCCTAATACGCAGTCACCCCTTGGCCACCTCTCAGGCCTAGGAGTGAACACACCAGCAGTGTGGTCCACCTTCTGGAGGATGGACCCAGGAAAGAGGCCTGCACAGGTCTGGGAAACAGACTCCCAGCCAGTGAACTCCTGGGTCAGAGAATTTCAGGGTCCTGGGTTTTGGAGCGTGGCCACAGCACTGCTCCATAGACCTCTCTGTTCTGTGTTGATGGACATGTCCTATAACATCTGTGCTAATCGTCAGAGCAGCAGCCACTAGTTCCGGGTAGCTACTGAGTACCTGAAATGCGGATAGTGCACCTGAGGAACTGAATTATTTTGTAATTCATTTAAATATAAATCAGTGTAGCCTATAAATTAGGCCAGTGGCTACCACACAGATGATGCCGATCAGGAAGGGAGCTACTAGCTGTGGGCACACCTCCGTGGCTCCATCAACTCATGCCCGTGGGGAGGGTACAACTGGAGGAGAGCCAGGTGAGGCTCTCTGAAGCTACAGGGAACATGCCACCCTTGCCCAGGGCTGAGGGTAACACTGCACATCTCTCCCTCCTTGACTCTGAAACACAAGACAGAAAAATGCTCCTTTCCCTCTGATGTTACCATTCCATCCAAATCCTGGCAAAGGTCAAGATCTCAGTTGTACTTCACTATTCAAGAGTCTAAGAAGAGATTATTCTAACCTTATTTTCATATTCTCACTAAGTCTTGGGTTAAGGAGAAAATAAACCACCATGTTTTTCTCCCAACTTTGACCACATCTTCAATTCTCATCAGGCCTCCAACACTAGGTGTTAGGGACAAAGAGAAATGATGAGAGAAAGAAGAGAAAGAGAGAAGAGAAAGCAGGGGTTGGAAAATGGGAAGCGTGACCTTGAGAATTCCAGTTCAGGAAACTGAAGAGGGGGACCAGCAGAACCAAGGCCTCCAGGAGCTCCTCTTCTCCCCTAAATGAAACCAAACTATCTTTTTCCTCCCCTAACTTCCTAGGAATTTTAGGGAAATGTAAGATTCATAGACCAAATTAAGACCTCTTTAAGCCACTACAATATAGTCAGCTTGAAAGAAAATCAGATTCCACTCCTCTCTACCTCTCTACCCACTGCTTATCACTATAAATAAATAAGACAAAACATTCTCACAGTCACTGATAACATCATTACTGTGAGTTTATGTTTCTTTATATTACTGAGTGAATAGTAGTCATTTATGTTTGATAGAAATCAGAATTATTTATATTGGGTTCTTATTTCACCCTTGCTTCTTATTTGGAGTTGAGTAATTCCAGAACAAATGAAATTTCTCTGGTCATTGTGGAAACCTCACTATTTTGAAATGAATCTACATAATGAATATTCTGGGATGTTATATGGATAGAGTACTTGATGAGGAGCTGGGAACTGATGGAGAAGTCCAAAGCACTCCTGCTTAATGTAGGATTTCCTTTGGATTAAGCCTCTTACCAATGCTTACGAGATCTGTCCGTTGAAAGGAGTCACTTCTTAGAGGGTTGGAAACACAGTTCCAAAATCAGTTAGTACTTAAATGATACAACTCCACAGTATTCTCCAAGGACCGTGCAGTCCTAACACCATAGGGTAGGTGCTCTGGGTAAGATGAGCTTCACAACACCCGCAGGACCCAAAGGAAGCCACTGCAACACAGCGACCAACCTTGGCTCCCCATCTTCCCAACAAGAAACACTGGGATGAGTAGTTCCTCTGAATATTTTTGAGCTACACCAAAATCAAAAGTATGCACATCTTGCTGAAGCACACATAGAGAAGAAAAATCATTCTTCTCAAGTAGTAGACAGAAATGAAGGAGAACCTTCAGGCCCTGCTGGTCAGGCTGCCAGGTTCATCAAGCTGCATGAAGGTTACTAAATCTTTTCACTAAAAGTGACTGAAAGTCAGTTATGAAACTGACATCACAGGTTTGTGTAAAGTGCCATCAAATGGAAAATTCCAAAATATCCTATTAGACAACAGAAAATGTTTCACTTGGAGAAAGAAATAGAAGTAGAATTTCACTCTGACAAAACCTTTTTTCTACTTGCTTTTATTTCTCAAAGTTCAAACTAATCCTGCTTTTAAAACTAAAGTTCTAATTGAGGCTCTGGCAAATAGCTAAAGAGCCAACCTCACAAGTGACTTTAATTTATGTAACTGGAATTTCCACTTACCACTCCTCCAAAGTATTTTCCTATGTAGAAGTCATCAAGGCTGTGTAATTCCAGATAGGTAGCTCCTAGCTCTTTAGCAAGCTGGATCCCTTCAGTCGTACTGACGCAGCTCCCTCTGTCCGAGGTACACAGTGGGCACGTACAAGGTAACTCTTCTGAGAACATGAATACGAGTAACAAAGAGGTTTGAAATTAAACAGGAAAAAATGTACACAGACAATCTGAGCATTAAGCCACAAATTAAGAGCTCATACCAGGATCACAGTCCAAGACCATTTAGTATATCCACTATCCAGTAGACTCTAAATAAAAAGTGTCAATGATGAGAGCAAGGTCCCTAAAGTAAACAAGCTTAAAATGTGAGAATGAACAGCACCTTGGAAAATAGGAGAATTTTTAAATAGGTGAATGAATATTACCAAGGCTATTATAATAATTACACCAATCAGCCAGTAATGTCAGGCCTCCTTTCTTTTATACAAACTTGACATCCTGAGTATCAGTACAAATTTAACAATTTGATTGCCCATAGAAACCATGGAAAAGAGGGTTGGCTTTTTTTCTTCATAATGAACTTTAAATACATTCACCAAGTTTGAATAGATCTTATACTTTTATTTTAATAGAATCCTCAACTTGACCTCAATCTCCAAGGCTGCAAAATTGCCAATCTTTGTAAATTTCATGCGAAGTATGTTTTTATTAATCCAGACATTTCAATTATTGAACTCTAAAGCACTCAACTGCAGAGACCAAATTCAATCACTTTTATCTTTTTCTTCAAGATTAAAAAATTAAAAACTGAAATAATAAAAAGTAATTACTGAACATGTGAGCTGTCCCAAGAGTCATCGCCGCACCACGCACAGACCTCTGGCTGGGAATGTGGTGGATGAACCTGTCCATACGGACACTCCTCAGGAGGACCACAAACGTGTGCTCACTTCCATATTCTTCAGCCAGCCTTGTTTTGTTTCATGCTACACCATCAGGTATGTCATTGTTTAAAAGGCAGCCAAGGCAAAAGGGGATGAAACCATGTATAAAAAAGCATGTTGTTGCAGGCGGGCTTTCCTGGGAAGCAGACTCTGAAATGGAGACTGATGTGCTGGACGCTTACTGGGTGATGATCTTGGGAATAACTTTTCTCAGGGGTGAGGGAGGCAGGACTGAGCAGACGAAGAATTCCAACTTCAGTGTTATTGCAAGAGACCTCAGCCATCTGTCAGGGCTCTTTACAGTGGTTCCCCACACAAGGCTGGGCCTTTGTATCCCTAAATGAGCCAGTAATTTAAGAAGGGCTGCCCTCGTGAAGGGAGCAAAACCCTCGGCAAGAAGCTTCTATCAGCCTGGAAAGGGACTCAGCTGTGCACCATAAGTGGCCAAAAAACCCGGTAACTGAGGGAGTAAATCCAGTGGCCCTGAAAGGGCATTTGGGATATGTTGCCCATAGCATACACAACAAGTTTCCTGCCAATGACCTGCATGTAGATGGAGCACATGTATGTACACACGGCGTGTATACAAAGGCTATTCAGTGCACTGCATACAGCGTATGTAACATGCATGTGCATACACACACATATGACAGATAATTTAGCTTCGTGGGAAGCCTTTTGAGCTCAGAAACCATGTATTCACATCCTCATTTTGCAGAAGAGGAAATTGAAGCTCAGGGAGGTTAAGTAACTCGTCTAATCTCCTTGTGTGTTAGAGCTGGAGGAACAATAATAAAACTGTTTACTTGCTCCACCTGAGAAATAGACATCAAAAGATAAGATAAAATTTTAGTTTGAGCAAAGAATTATTGAGTCCAAAGATACAGTGATTTAAAACTCAAGCTTGGTTTCTCTAAATTATGCAATAAATTCTAATCAGAGTTCTTGCATTCACTTCTTCTAAGATCATTTCAGGTTTAGAGAAAATAAAGTTCTCATACACAATTTAGACTATCTTGAAAAATAACACATCGGTATTTCACATTCTTTATGAAGCCTTGATAAACAGTGACTTTGATTTTCTGAAGACAGAGGCCTTCTTATGTCTACAAAGCTCTCCTTATGTTGATGGAATGGGGTGGGTAGGCAGAACATCTTATTAAACTTTATTTCTGGACAAAAAGTCACTAGTGTTTTGAGCAAAAAATTAAGCAAGCAAAATGTAAAACAATTGCTAGGAAATAACCTTGATTTGAAGGAAAATCCAACTAATGTCAGGTTTAACCCAGCTGAGTGGGGGTTTTCCACTGTGTGTAGCCACAAGCATCTCACGAACCTAGAAAGTGCCCCTGCTTATATTCAATCATTATAACTTATCTATGTCACAATACGTTTCTTTTTGTTCACTTGGTACCAAAAGTAAAAATGCCTAGTCATTATGTGTTAGGCAGGAGAATCAAAACATTTATGGATCAAACAAACTTACATTGAGCATTTCATCAGGAGACCTCAAATAATTTTAAATTGTGGTACCTTCTTCAGGACTCACTCCTATGAGCCCACCTCAGGGTCCTGGGACTCTGGGAATCAGTGTTACACTTCTAGTTAACACTGTAGCCTTTTTTTCTCTGTTATATATTATCTTTTAAGGTATTATCACAAAATGTCTGTTTTTTTTTAAAGCAGACACAATGTAACTCTAGAATTCAAATGAATGGCATCTCTCTCAAAGCAGTGGCTTTGAGAACCTGCAAGGTGATTCTTACAATGTTGTCAGTGCTTAAAAGTCTTAGGAATCCTTTTAGGAATTCCAGCCTAGCAATGTAATAGGCTCTGTCAGAGCTTCAAAAAGAAAAGACAGGATGCCTGCTTTTAGGAGCTTAAGGCTATGAATACACCCTTGTCACATTTGGAGAAAATCTTCCACTTTAAAGATAGACTCAATATTTAGTAAAAGCCAAAAATGTATTTAGAGCCAAGTACGATGAAGACACACACAGCCAAGCTTGTCAAAACATGTATAACAAAGGAAAGAGATGAGACTGATTGTGTTTGCTTAACTCATTCTTAAAGGAGTTGGAGAGAGAAGTTAGCAGAACACCCAGCACGGGTCCGTGGGCTACAAGGGGTTGAA